TTTTATAGAGTGAAAATGCTCTACTGGCTTATGTTATTTTATGTGCCTTGCTCCTATACACTTAGCATGTTTCTGTATAATGTTATGTAACACGGAATTTTCGAAAAGGTCTAGGTGCGGCAAAGAACAATGTAAACAAAGTTTTAAAATCTCTGTATCAATGTAAAGAAAATGTTATAATGACAAAATGTTGTGCTTAAGGCCTTCGAGAAACTTGCGAGTCCCATTGTTTCTTTGTTTGTTTGTTGTTTTCTTCTTTTTTTTTTTTTTTTGATAGAAAAAAAAAAAAAAAAAAAAAAAACACCTGTTTTGGGTTGCCATTGTGGCTATTTTTTTTATTTTGGAGTGGCAATACTGATATGAGGATACAAAATGGTTTTTGTTGTGTGCTGGCAATGTAACCATGGAAACGCTCATCGTTACACCAATTGACAACAACTCTGGTACTCTACTGATAAGGCCGACTCCATCAACCGATAACGAACAGGCTAAGGGCGTGACAGATTAATAGGACACATATAAGATCAATAAGGCAAATATAAGATCAATAGGGCACATATTAGATCAATAGGGCACATATTAGATCAACAGGGCGCATATAAGATCAATTAGGACACATATTGGATCAATAGGGCACATATTGGATCAATAGGGCACATATTAAATCAAAAAGGCACATATTAGATCAATAGGGGACACAAAAGATCAATAGGACAAATATAAGATCAATGGGACACATTTAAGATCAAAAGTACTCATATAAGATCAATGGGGACGTATAAGATCAAAAGGACACATATAAGATCAATAAGACCCTTATAAGATCAATAGGACGCATATAAAATCAATAGGACACATATAAGATCAATAGTACACATATAAGATCAATATGACACATATAATAATAATAATAAAGTTCATTTCAAAAACACGCTTCATCGCCAAAGGCTCGAAGCGCGGGACAAAGTCAACAAAAAACAAATCTAAATTTACCACATTTAAAACAAACGCAACACTACAAAAACTAATTACAAGCATACAATGGCAAAGTCTTTCTAGCCATTTCAACCATAAGCAGCACGGCCATTATGCATTAACTGGAAAATAAGGTAGACGATCATCCCAGAAGGTGTTTGCGATAAGATCAATAGGTGACTATAAGACCAATAAGGGGCATATAAGATAAATAGAACACAGATACGATCAATAAGGAAAGATTTAAACAAGTAAACCCATACACATATAACTATTGTTGATGTCATGACTTGGTGGGGATGGGGGTATCTGGGGGTATAGCATTCCAACGAGGTCACGTGTGGACCATATACCGCATTACACTAAGATTAGAATAAACGAAAGACTTGCAACGTATTTACATTTGTGTCCCAGGTTGCTTGGTGCATGTTGCAAGCTGCGTCGATGCCAGCCAGAAATATTGATGAAACACATTTAAAACTAACTTGATCCGACTTCTGAATTTTGATTTAAATTTCTGTTTTGGATTGTCATTGTTTTAGCTACTTTTTTCTTGAAGTGCCCGTATATACTGAGTTTCAAAAATGTTTTTTTTTTTTTTTTTTTTTTTTTTTTTTTTAATTAAAAGGAAAAAGCGAATCGTTGATTAGATTATCTAATTAAGCTAATGTGTCGACCGCTCCATTAGAAAACAAAATATTTCCAACTGTAGTAGACTAAAACTTAATCAACCCTAGTTGGAAACAATTTGTGGAATCCTGAAGTAAGCGTTCACCAGCCAAGGTCAAGGTCAGCTTAATGAACCAAATAAGACTCTTCAAACTGATGGTGCCCAGTGGCGTAGCGAGGGTGTTTGGCGCCCGGGGACATCTGTCCCCCCCTGCCCCCATCACGTTACGCCTCTGATGGTGCCGACTGTTGATTAGAAATTGTCGTTTTCTTTCAATGAACCAGTTGTGTGTGTGTGAGGGGGGGGGGGGGGGGGACAACGCTGTGGAGGAATTGAAAGGAACTCGTTCCTGTGGGCCCATAATGCAATGCAACTTTTTAAGAAAACACCCGGATCTAAATTGCACAAAAAAAGTGTGGCATTAGACGTGATCATACGAGGAATGGTTGAGTTCTGTGTGGGGGGGAGGGGGAGGGGGCGGGGGAGGGGGGCTGTTGAGTCATGAGTCTCTGGTTTCAGAGGTGTTGGTTGGTTTTTTTATTGCTTGGTTTTTTTTTTTTT